TAGTAACGTTGGGACAGTGACTATTCCCCCTAGGGAAAAAAGGCACTACAGAGATCACATCCTACCCGATGGGGAGGTAACATGTGAAGATCCACCTATGGACTTACAGAGGAAATACCAAATAGGGAAGGTACTGGGGTGGGCTACGCGTAAGGGGAGATCTACCAAGACCCAGAACCTGTCGACAGAATGTCTGTCTAGGGGAACACTGAGCCTCAGGGGCAATACAGTGGAGAATACACAAGAGCCACTACATGTGGAGCACTAACCCAATACAAGAGTTCACTCGAGGGAACCTACCTCGTAATCAGTTCTAATAGCAAGTTCCTCCGTCGAACTTCGCTAAGAAAAAGTGCTTATGTGATGGAAGGGTAGTCCAGAATTCATGAAAGGAACCAGAGCTGGACTGAATAAGCGCATAATTACCCTGGGAGGAGTAGCGCTGGTAGCAAGCTCTACACCCTGCCAGTCTCCTGAGTCAAAGAACTGATGTTCAGAACTCTAGAAGAAACTGGTTCCATTCATAGATTATAAAATCTAGCAAATGTATTAGGTGTAGCCCAACCTGCAGCTCTACAGATATCTACTAGAGAGGCCCCATTCGCCAGGGCTGCTGATGCAGCCATTCCCCTGATAGAGTGAGCCCTCACTCCCAGTGGGCAAGGTAGGCCTCTGGCCTGATAGGCTGTTAGGATCGCATTCACAATCCAGTGGGAGATCCTTTGTCTGAAGACAGCATTCCCCTTCTGCTGTCCTCCAAAGCAGATAAAGAGCTGTTCAGAACGTCTGAAACTCTGAGTGCGATCTAGGTATGTGCGTAGGGCTCGCACTGGGCACAACAGAGACAGGTCGGGGTCCCCTTCTTGGAAGGGGATAGCTTGCAATGTTACCACCTGGTCCCTGAAAGCAGTGGTGGGAACCTTGGGCACATATCCAGGCTGAGGTCTGGAAAACGCGCCACTTCAGGTCGTACAGCCACCTCGTCGAGGGGGCTCTGGCCTGAATAATGGCATTCACCACTGCTGGTGAAAGGTCTCTGAGTTCCTCCTGGTCGCATCCAGGGACCAAAAATGAAGGTTCTATATATCCGGGCGTGGATGCCAAATTGTGCCCGAATTTGACAGGGAGGAACTGATGCCATGATCACGAGCTCCAAGAACCAGGTCCTATTGGGCCAATAAGGGGCCACAAGCAGGAGCTGTTCTCCGTCTTCCCTGACTTTGCACAGTGTCTGTGCAATGAGGCTCACTGGGGGAAATGCATACTTGAGTAGGCCCCTGGGCCAGCTGTGAGCCAGGGCATCCGTACCGAGGGGAGCCTCGGTCAGGGAGTACCACAACTGGCAATGGGTTGATTCCGACGAAGCAAACAGGTCCACCTGTGCCAGGCCGAACCGACTCCAAATCAACTGAACCATTTGGGGGTGAAGCCTCCACTCGCCTCTGAGCGAGACCTGTCACGAGAGGAGATCTGCTACATGATTGAGGTCACCCGGGATATGAGTGGCATGCAGAGACCTGAGTCTGTGCTGGCTCCAAAGTAAGAGATGGCGGCCGAGTTGTGATATGCGATGGTAGCGAACACCACCCTGGTGGTTGATGTATGCAACCGTCGCTGTGTTGTCCGTCCGGATCAAGGGTCGAAACCTCCTCAAGACCAAAAGCACTGTCAACAACTCCGGGCAATTGATATGCCAATGCAGCCGAGGGCCTGCTGGTGAAGTGAATCGCATAGCCGAGCCGAATGGTTCTGAGGAGCCATCGGGACGGATTGGAGAGTCTTAACCAAGCATCCAGATACCCTGCCAACGTCTCAAAGTTGCCACATGTGCCACCGACGGATGAGGGAACAGGAGTTCGCCAGCATGCGTTGTGTTAGATGAGTGATAGACCCTTTGCATCTGAACGAGAGGAGACAGAGTGTCTGTGTCCAAACAGGCTCTGATGCATGGTTTCAGCGTCTGGCCATCGCAAATTGGAGGGCCAAAAACGCTGTGTGTGACCCAGAGAAGAAGGAAATTGCTGTTTTTATTGACCAGGTGGTGGCTATCTGCCAGGTGGCAGACAGCCGAGGAGGAGCCGAATCCACCTCCCATCCCCCAGTCGGAAGTGGATCCAGGCTGGCCAGATGATCCCTCCTCCCTGGGTCACCCATCTCAGGAATGCTTTGAAGCCTTGCGAGGGTTCCTGGTGCACTGATGATGAGCTGGTGGTGCCAGCTTCCTGCAAGTGGTGGGCCGTTGGTCAGGCTTGACTGAGCAATCCTCGCAGGGGGCCGTCCTCCTGAACCACTAAAGTGGGCATCGCCCTCCCCAGAGCCTGCGCCGTGACCTTTGTTGCCTGAAGGGCATAGTCAGTCACCGAGCGCAGTTCCTGCAGTACCTGTGGGTTGGACTATCCTCGTGCAGCTCTTTCAACGTTTTGGCCTGGTAGACCTGCAGGATGGCATAGTCAGTCGCACAGTTCCTGCAGTACCTGTGGGTTGGGACTACCCTCATGCAGCTCTTTCAACGCTTTGGCCTGGTAGACCTGCAGGATGGCCATAGCAGGCAGGGCGGACGCAGCTTGTCCAGAAGCCGCATAAGCCTTCGCCACTAGGGACGAGGAGAACTTACAGACCCTAGATGGGAGTCTCTGGCTGCCCCACAAGATGGTGGCGTTTTGCGGGCAAAGATGCACCGCAATCGCTCTTTCCACCTGGGGAACCTCCATATAACCCCACGCTGGACCCCCATCCTCGCAAGCGGGGCACGAACCATCCACAAGTGCTGCATCAGCGTGAGCACGGCCCAAACACTGAATACAATGCTCATGCCAGTCGTCTTTTGAGACGTGCCAACCGCAACCAGAAACACCCGGACGGAAAGGCATGAAGAAACGCACAATTCCACCGTGAAGCTCTTTCAGAGAAATTGTACTCTTTTTAGAGGAAATTTGATCTTCTAGAAATCCCCGTTGAAGCCCCTAGGGGTACTCTCACAACACTTATCCATGTATGAGTAGGGAGAGACTGCTGACCGTGCCTTAGATCCAACGACGAGGAATCGAGAGGTGAATGAACGCAACTTCTCCGTAAGTGACGCTGCATTTGGCTCCGAAAAACAGAACGAGTGAGCAGATGCCACGCTGGCCTATTTATACCTGGATGTCCGGGGCGTGACCAGCTATGCAAATTCTGCACACCCAATTTTATTGGCCTTTTCTCAAAGATGTCAGAGGTGTTTGGGCTCTCAAGAGCGACCCCTAGTTTCGTACACTCGACACAACGTCGGAGTGAACGACAGAAAGAGAACATAAAATTCTAATTAAATTCTGCATCCTGTTTGCTGCCTCAATTCAAACTGGATGTGAATTCAAAGGCATTCCCAATCACTCTGAATGGTGCACAGCCCAGGTAAACACTGGCACCAAGACAAACACACATAAAAAGGCTTTTTAAGAGCACAAATTGCGCATATATACTCATACTAGGTTGTTTCGGCAGACGGATGACGCATATGTGCACCTCACCGCTACCGCCATGCCGTACGTGTTACTGCAAACATAACAACATTTGAGGCAGATCTGAGGGTAAGAAATGCCCTCCACGCTGCTCCAACTACCGTGAGCTATTTACATGCTCTGAAAGATGAGAAGATAAGCAAGGAAAGTACGACGAAATGGAAAATAAATGTTTCTGAAAAAGCAGTCACACAAAAACAAAGATATACTGTACTGTAACAGCCCCGGTCCCTTCCTGGCCCTGGCAGGCGCAAAGGAATTTCTACAAACTCAGACATGTCATTATAATTCCTCGCTCAAATTACAATTCAGCCTCTTGGACTGCGAGTCCAGAGGAAACTGGAATCTTTATTGCACTTTGGACAGGAGTATGCAAGATTCATTAATGTCAGCGTAAAAAAGAGCAGGTCTAAATATTTTTGTAGGGCTATTGCATAACGTGCAGGGGGAGGGGATATATTTCAACAGCTTCCAGGACTCCTGCAAAATGTTAAACAAAGGAAAGACAGTCTGACTCCAGCAATTAGGCGGCCAATAAGAGTAAGCCATAAACGCCGAGGTCAGGGCTGATGTGCCGATTGGTCAGTGCGGGAGGAATCTGCTTCCTGTGTGAATGAGACTGTGAAAGTAGCAATGAAAACATGTGATGGCGCTGGATGAAAAGGACACCACGGCGCAGCCAGAGTCTCAGACTCTCTCAATCCCCAAGCCTCTTTAAGCAGATCCAAGTGTGTTAGTGTGTGTGTATGTGTGGTCGAGATCTGAGTCTTAGTCAGAACTGCTTCCATCTCGTCAATGACTAAGTTTACATGAGCACAAATAATGCGATTATTTCCAATAATCAGAGTTAAGGACTTAATCGCATTATGATGTTTACATGTCAAGAGTAAAGCTCTTCATTCCTGTTTACATGCAATTTCCATTATTCGCTAAGAACCAGGGTTTTTTTTTTTCATTCACGCCATTATTTGCATATCCCACTGCACAGCACAAATGATGGACTCAGAAAGAGTATGTGTGTTACTGGCCACTGTTTTAATTTATTTACATCTAATGAAAAACACTTGTATGGTTGTATTCCTTGCTCTGACATTTTTGTGTTTTTGTGCATCAATGTACTGCATTCTGTTCATGTCACACAATGTCGACAACATGAACTCTGTTTCCTTGGCTCCCCAGAAATGCGATGCTTTCCTCCTCGCCATCGTTTCTAATCTGCGTATTACTGCAGGTGCATGTCACGTAATTAATGTACGTCACAAGCTCAAGCGCACTTTGGTCAGAGCGGCAATACTGCGATTAAGGTGTTTACATGCCTGTATATTTCAACTTCAGAAAAGCACTGAGAAATGCAGGAAAAGTCAAAAACAGGTCAAGATGGTACGAGCTGACTCAGACATCTGATCAAACTCGGATCCTCTCTACAGAAACCTCTAATCTCCCCCGCAGGAAAGTGTAAGGGCCAGCTCGTTACCCATGATTCTGAGTGTCCACACTGACCTGAGGTCCCATTCTTGCTGGAGAATGTGGAGCAGGTTGACTTTGGGTTGTGAGGTTTGTTCCAGCGCAGTGTTTGTGTGGAGGTGAGGTGATTTTAGCTCTATCTCTCCCTCAACCCCGTCCTCATTCTCACTCATGTGAGGGGACTGAGACGCTTTCAGACCTAAAAACACACATCAGATATTATCATTTTAAAATACTACAGGACTAGTTTTTAGCTTTGAGGAAGTGATATGTCATTTAACTTCTGTCATATACCACCACTAAAGCTTTTCCCGTTGTGCTGTCCGATGCACCTTCATTATGGATTTAAACGTATCCAACTTTCTGTGTAAAAAGTGTTCAAGTGCTGCTGGCTGGCATCTCATTCAATAGCATCTCAATCAATAAGAAGTGGAATCTAATCGTGGAAATGTATGGGATTGGCCACTGTAAAAACAGCATCAGGAAAGATCTTCACAATTCAAGCACTTTTATGTAATAAGGGGTTTATAAAAGCTTTTACTTTTATAAACCCCTTATTACATAAAAGTGCTTTAAAAGTGCTGTTGTGGATTTTTCTTTAAATTTTGATTTCAAAGTCATAATAAAACTTTTTTTCTCTTGTATGGTTATTATTGATACATTTAATGTATCCTAATTAAATAATAACATTCATTTAATTTAATTTATTCTTACTTACCTCAAACTTCTGAATGGTAGTATATCACTGTTTCCACAAAATATGTTTTTAAACTGTTTCAAATTTGTTTTCAACATTGATGATAATCAGAAATGCTTCTTGAGCAGAAAATCAGCATAGGGTGACTTCTGAAGGATCATGTGACACTGAAAACTCGAGATTCTGCTTTGCATCAAAGGAATAAATTGCATTAAAATATATTTGCACAGAAACAGCTATTTTAAATTGTAATGTTTCACAATATTACCATATTTGACTGTATTTTTGATCAAATAAATGCAGCCTTGGTGAGCAGAAGAGACTTCTTTCAATAATATTTAAAACAATCTTAATTATTCCAAACTTTTTTCAAAAGTTTACTTTTGTCTCAAATACAGACTTTCAATCATAAAATATGAATTAGGCATTTTAAAGCTATTATAATCTAAATAAAGAGCAATATAACTTTAAACTATTTCAATATTTAACGAGTGAAAATGATTTACATCAGTTTTCACTCAAACTTCAAGAGTAAAATGTAAAATTTTATGTTACATTAGTGTCAGAGCTTGAGATTAATATTTTACTGAACATAATTTCTGAGCTATAATTTGTCAAATTATGCAAAAAGTGAGCAAATATGATTTAATTGTGTGTATTTAGGATACGTAAAATGCTAGCTATAAAACTGGACAAAATGCCATTTCCGCTATAGAATGAATAGATTTGAGATGTTGTGGAAAGTCAGAAAAAAGAAAAAGAAAACTGAACTCTCTTGTGATCTATGTGTATCAACTGCAGGACATTGGTGTAACCAAATAAATACAATTTCAACTTATTAACTGGACAGAGTCAAACATTGCAGATGATTTTTAGTTACCAGATATGATCTGTCTCTCAACGAATCGCGCCCCAGCACACACATCACGCAAACGCACCTGCTCGTCTTCTTCCGGCGGAGGCTCGTCCGGGTTTGCGTCTCTGCTTGCGTGTCTCCAGACTAAGAAGCTTCCTTTCATATTGGACCACATGGTGCGTGTAGAAGGTCCCCACAACCAGAGATCTATCATCACTCACCCTGTTCCTGTGGAATAAAACACGGCAAAACAGACATGTATAACCTTTTGTGTTTGTTTGCATTCAGAGGTTGAAATTACAGGCACTAACCTCGATCGGGAGATCACAGATCTGAGAAACAAAGAGCAACAGATCATTTTAAACAAATGTGAGTCTGGGAAAGCTATTCTAAAACATTCTAGAGAAAAGCTCACATAAACTTGGCCATATTTGAGTTTAAAGGAACAGTTGATGCAAAAAAAATTTATTTGCTGATAATGTCCCCACCCTCAGGCCATTCAAGATCAGGATGAGTTTGTTTCTTCATCAGGTTTGGAGAAATGTAGCATTGCATCAGTGTCTCAGCAATGGATGCTCTGCAGTGAATGGGTGCCGTCAGAATGAGAGTCCAAACAGCTGATAAACACATCACAATAATCCACAAGTAATCCACACCACTCCAGTCCATCAGTTAACATCTGGAGAAGACAAAAGCTGTGTGATTGTAAAAAATAAAATAAAATACATCAAGACATTTTTAATCCATAATAATAATGCTTCCTCCAGTGAAAAGTCCTTCTGCTGTTGTCTCTCACATCAAATTCCAGCCACATATTTGAGTAGAGCTATTTTGGCTTGTAAAACGGTGCTTGATCTGTGCAGATTTCTCTCCTGATTCACACCAGACCACTTTTTCACTGGAGGAAGTGAAATTAATTTTGGCCAGAAACAATGATTAAAAACGTCTTGATGGATTAGTTTAAGCTTTTGTCTTCTCCAGATGTTAACTGATGGACTGGAGTGCTGTGGATTATTGTGATGTTTTTATCAGCTGTTTGGACTCTCATTCTGACGGCACCCATTCACTGCAGAGCATCCATTGCTGAGACACCGATGCAATGCTATATTTCTCCAAATAAATATCAACAAAAGATTCCTTAAATAGATTAAGATCTTTCCAACCACGGTGGAAAGACTTACCTTCCATGGAAAAGTTTATTAGCCAACATGGCGTTCATAGAGCTCTTGTATTCCAGATAACCACTGAGAGAGAGAGAGAGAGAGAGAGAGAGAGAGACACACATAATTACAGACAGATTAATTATATAAGTCCAAACCAATTCTATGGTAAACAATCAATCCTGTTGGTTTCAGCACAGACTCTTATGCAAACGAGAAAGATACAAGCTGAATGAGAACATGATGCTTCCTGCACTTTTCAATTGTGTAAAAACTGTACTGCTGAAATGAGAAAACAATGTCTGTTAGCTTTCCTCAACAACTGCCCTGCATGTTTATGACAAAACACATGTAACAACAGGTTAGATGCTTTATGGTGACTGCATCGGTCACGCTTGAGCAATATTACTACGCTCTGCCTTCAAGCAGCTAGAATTAGCTGCTGCATCACTGTCTAATGGTGTGACCGCGGTGTGAAATACAAAATTATGAGGTGCTGAATATTAAATGCTGAACATTAAATGACTGCACAATTTTTCCAGACCGAGCTCAAACAAGCATTTGAAAAGCTTTAGCTATTTTCCTGTGTCAATAACAATATATTTTTGGTGAAGTAAATGTTTATTTAAGTCATGAATGTCTCTTTCAGTCAAGCTGTTATAACACTATCCCGTTATGGGACAGCGCCTGCTTCCGAGCGCATATTCAACATATCTTTAGGCAATGAGAATGAAATGTTCACACAGGGATGGAGTAGTTATTAAGCAAGCACTTGATAAAAATCATTAAAAAAATAAAAATAAAAACATTCAAAAACCTGGTTTACAACCTACAGAAAATATTACAGAAACCTGCTCGAGTAATCTCAGCATTCATGTTTGCTTCAATCATTTTCAGCAGAATAATATGAATTGAATACATGTAAGTGTTCACATCATTATTACTCTGAAGTGCATTCATGCTTTTTAATTATGTGGACCCACTATTAAGTGTCTTTAACTACTACATTTAATTTAACAACTTACATTTAAATGAATCATGCACTTATTGTGTATATATGTTTTACATTGTACTTATATTTAAAAGTACCTTCCTGTACTATACATTACATCTGTAATTCATTTCTGTAGTTACATCCATAATTACACTGTTGATGCTACCTCTACCCCTTAACCCTAACCTAAACTTAACCACAGCACCAACCTTACCCATGTATCGGCAAAAGTGTTTTATAATTCAACAATTATTATTATGTATTATGTTTTGATGTAAGTAAATAGTAAAGACATAAAAAAGACATATAATCTGGGTCCAATTCATTAATAAAGTGATAAAAGAATGGTCTGCTTCAAACATTACTGCTTCAAGTGTTATTTGAATTATTTGAAAATTATTTCCTGTAACTTCTAATAGACCAGCCCTTTTTACGATGTCTTTTTACTACAAAAATAGTTTCTATTAGCTTTGTTCCAGCGCAATTCAAACAGATACATACATAAACAACAAAGGAGTTTGATTTATTTATAATTTTTTTTTTTAATTAAATAAAATTCAAGGGTATCAATAATTTCGGCCACATCTATAGATCAGGGTTATTTTAGTATTACTTATAAACTATTATACTTTTAAGTAATATTTGGAATATTTTGGCCTGTTGACAACAAGAATGAAAAACTGTAACGATAACTATATTAGCATCCACTCCTTCACACAATAATGTTTTGTTTATTATAAGCACACGCTGCAGTTTTGTCGTCTGCCGCTTTAAATGCTCGAGCTCATTAAAGTATGTCTGTCAATGTTTTTAATGTTCATCAGCTAAGAAAAAAAAAGGAATAATTCTGAGAGTGATTCCAAAAATATCTTTCCTCTGTGCTTATGGTATACTTGGTGTTTTTTTGTTTAGAAAGATTTTAAAAAATATATCTTTATTGTTATTGTTATCATCCTTGGTGTGAATGGGCCTTTAAGTTTTATTTGAATATTTTCAGTTTTAATTTAAAATTTAAGTTTATTTTTTATGTTTTTGTCGTTTTATTAGGTTTTTAAATATATATTATATTCAGGTTTCATTTATTTATTTTTACTCAGTTTTAGTTATTTTTTTAATTTTTAATTTTTAATTTTTAAACTTTAGTTAGTTGCCAAGGCAACTTTTCTAATTTCCCTTTAAAGTTTTCATCTAATATTAATATTTTATTTGAATAGTCCTAGTTTTATCTAGCAATAATAACCCTGCTGTAGATCTGAATGACCTGCTTTAATCCATATTTTACATGCACAATGTAAGTTTATTTTTTATGTTTTTGTCGTTTTATTAGGTTTTTAAATATATATTATATTCAGGTTTCATTTATTTATTTTTACTCAGTTTTAGTTATTTTTTAAATTTCCAATTTTAATGCTTTAGTTAGTTGCCAAGGCAACTTTTCTAATTTCCCTTTAAAGTTTTCATCTAATATTAATATTTTATTTGAATAGTCCTAGTTTTATCTAGCAATAATAACCCTGCTGTAGATCTGAATGACCTGCTTTAATCCATATTTTACATGCACAATCTTCTTAGCCTGTTGTTCAGTAATGATACCCACTCGTGCTTGCAGAGGGTAACCCGTCTGTATTCAGAGGCAGAGCACACAAGAGCACATGCATGACTGATGGAAATGATGGACGCATGACTTGGCATTGCTGGCATCTCATTTTCATTGCCCATCAAACATACTCATGAATAAGGCAGAAAGAAGAAAGACTGGGGCTGGCACTGATTGCTCTGGTCTAAGCACATCTGGTTTTGGGGGGTATTTGATCTAACAGAGGGTGATCCCTGTAACCTGTTCACAGATGTTTCATATCAAAAGTAAGTGGTGTAATACTGCACCTGAACATTATTATTTTATTCTAGTCTTCAATTGTGTTTATGTTAGCATCCTTACTACGCTAAAAATGGTGCAGGATTTACTTTGAAACAACTTTCCCTCAAAAATAGCATTTTACAAAGCATTTGTATCACTTATAAAGAAACAGCAACATTACATTTTGAATCAGAAAGACTGAACTAGTATTCTTTTTTTTTTTTTTTAAACGTCAAACGTACTCTAATAAACTCCAAAAACAGTGTAGAGCATTATTAGAGTCACTGGTTATTTTAGCCTTTAAGTTTATTTCTCAAATAAAATCAGTGAATGACGTTGAACAAACCATCTTAGATCATCTTTGTCTCTTAAAGCAGTCATGAACTGAGAAATCAAATTCACTTGATCTTCATAACAGGTCAATGTACTATAAAAACCCTCCTGTATGTTTCAGAATTCAAAACTTTCTCATTAGTTCAAAAACAGCTTTTATTGAATCCAAGCTAAGAAAACGATTAGTTTTGGAATCTGTCACATTATGACGTCATAGTGCGACGAAAGACCACCTCTGCAGGAGAAACACTTGCTAACTTTTCTCTGAGATCAACAAACTTGTTAAACCATCGTCCATAGCTATTAATAGCTCTGTTGATCTTCGTGAATGCTTTCAGTCTTTTTTCCTACGTAAAATTGATAACATTTACCAAGATTTTTCTCCATCTGTCTCTCCCCACCTTTCTCCATGTCTGATAGGTCACCCACTCAACACTTTCTTACCCACAAATTTATCTGCAGTCGAACAACTGATTATCAAATCTAACTCTGCCTCCAGCACACTTGATCCTATTACAACATACTTACTCAAAACCCTGTTGCCTTCACTTATCCAACCTATTACTCATATTATAAACAGATCCCTTGCCACTAATTATGTTCATCAAGACCTAAAAGTAGCTGCCATCACCCCAATCCTTAAGAAACCTGGTCTTGATAACACAGATCTGAACAATTTTAGACCAATATCAAACCTCCCATTTGTTGCTAAAATACTTGAGAAGGTAGTTGCAGCACAAACTGCAGTCTCATTTAGAGAAACATAATCTTTATGAGCAGTTTCAATCTGGTTTCCATCCCTCTCACAGCACAGAAACAGCACTTTTAAAAGTGGTTAATGATCTCCTTCTGGTTTCTGATTCAGGTGCCCACAGTATCCTGGTTCTCCTTGATCTGAGTGCAGTCTTTGATACAGTTTGCCACTCTGTTCTTCTTTCTCGACTATCTGCTATAGGTATCACTGGTGCTGCTCTTCAGTGGCTAACTTCATATTTATCAGACAGACAGCAATTCGTTAGGATAAATAAGAATAGATCTCACACTGTCACTATTTCACGTGGTGTCCCCCAAGGTTCTGTACTTGGTCCACTTGTATTTCTTATTTACGTGCTGCCACTGGGTCAGATCATCAGATGTCATGGTCTCAATTTTCATATATTAATATGATATGAGATATTCAAATCTATTTTACGGTTCAACCCAACTCAGTTTGTTCACCACTTTCTATTGTTTCCTGTCTTCAAGAACGTAAAACCTGGATGTCAGATAACTTTTTGCAACTAAATGCAGACAAAACTGAAATCCTGCTGGTTGGCCCTAAATCATAGAGCTCCTCCCAGCATGACATCTTCATAGATATCGATGGTGTCCAGATTAGGCCCTCAACAACTGTGCGAAGTTTGGGAGTGTTGTTTGACTCTGCGTTATGCTTTGATTCACATATTGGTCAGATTGTTAAATCATGCTTTTACCAATTGCGGAATATTGTTCATGTACGTCCCTCACTTAATTTTGGAGATGCTGAAACTATTATCCATGCTTTTATAACCTCCAGATTGGATTACTGTAACACTTTATATAGCGGCTTACCTGCCAAAGTTATTAATCGCCTCTAAATGGTACAAAACTCTGCTGCTCGAGCCCTTACATTTAACAAAAAAATCTGCACACATCACTCCCATCCTTCTCCAACTTCACTGGCTTCCTGTGGCCAAACGTATTCAGTTCAAACTCTTAGTTTTAGTTTATAAGTCCTGTCACAGCCTCGCACCTCAATACCTTGCTGAGTTAGTGCAACCATACATTCCTGCACGGACGCTCAGATCTAGCAATGATAACTTGCTTGTTGTGCCCAAGTTTAAACTCTCTACGGTGGGTGGTAGGGCTTTCTGTATTATAGGCCTAAGCTATGGAATAAGCTGCCCCATAATATTCATGCTGCCTCCTCTCTCCAGGCCTTTAAGTCTAAACTTAAAACTCATCTATTCACTTTGTTCTCTAAATCAGTGTTTCCCAACCGGGGTGCCACGGCACACACCACTGTTTGCTTTCACTCGTTAGACATGATTGCAGCGTCTGATTTAGTGGCTGGCAGCTCAAGCTTGGCAACCAGCAGAGTTTTGCAGCTCATGTTGAGTTACAGGTGATTTGGCCATATAGGTGAAGTCAGTATGATCTCAGGGTTTCAGAAAAACACAAGAGTCCAATCTTAAGCTGACTCTGGCAACATACACACACCACAATTTCGGGAATCATTTAAACACAGAACTGAATGTCCTAACTTACAACTCAATGCGTGTACAGATGGCTGGCATTGTGATCTCTATTTTAATCGATTCTCATTTTAACGAAACAATATCGAGTCTTAAATCCCAAGAATCGATTAGTCTAGCCTGTTTTTAGTTAATGGATGGAACATTGTAGTACGCCTCCCATCCAATATATCGCAATAAGCATTATGCTTTAGTACTTTTAATATGAAACAAAGTTTAATTCAAAGTTTTTTTGTAGTTCAAAAAATATAAACTATTCCAAGCTTTTGACAGGTAGCATAAATCAATTCAACATTTTCTCATCTACAAATCATCGTTCTGTCCTTTCATTCTCTCACCTGTAAAGCTCCCAGGTGTCCGGAGTAGGAAAGATCCGAACAAACCCACCCCTCCTGTCATACTCCTCCTGTGCCCTCCTCAGCACTTTCATCTGTGCAGGGGAGACAATAAAACATGCTGTTCAATATCAAATATGTCAGGAGCAGCCAAGAAGAAAGAGCATACATCAGCCTGCTATCTTCAAATAAATTCCTTAGCGTTTGGCTAAAGTAATGGAAACCCCATCGGCTGTAGACTCAGAATCACTGACCTCTTCTGCCGTCAGACTCAGCGTACTCTCCGCTAGCTTAGCACCGGGTTTCTCTCTCTGAGCTTCTGGGTCTGCACTGTTAGCGGATGGCAGTCTCTGACGCTGAGGAAAAGAGTGAATTATTACAAAAATACTGTAGGGGCATGATCTGTTATTACAGATCATAGAGTTCATTCAGTCACTTTTGCAAAGGGTTCAAATATGCAGAGGATGCTGGAAAAGTGAAGGATGTGCAAGACCTGGAGGATTTTTCTGAAGAACTGTAGGCAGTTTATCTGTTCAGCGCTGCATTTCCCAAAAGCATCGTAAGCTTAAAGGAGACATATTATGCCCCTTTTTACAATATATAATATAATATAATATAAGTCTCTGGTGTCCCCAGAATGTGTCTGTGAAGTTTCAGCTCAAAATTCTCCACAGATAATTTATTATATAATTCGAAAATGCCTATTTTGAGTGGAAGCAGAAACACGCTGTTTTTCGGGCCTGTCTCTTTAAATGCAAATGAGCTGCTGCTCCCCGCCCCCTTTTCCAGAATAGAGCTGCGCCTTTACAGCTCGGACCTGCTAAAATCATATGTTTTGGTTCTGATTATCATGTTTATCGTGCTGAAATCATATGAGTTTAAACTTCTGATATAGGGTTTTCTGAGCGCACACATCTGAAGCACACGCACAGAAAGCGGCTGTCACAGCATGTGAGTACTAAACTAAAGTTCACATTCACACACAAGTTTATGTTAAAAAAAACACACATGAGTTACAAAAACAGTCGGTTATGTCTGCGAAGGTAAACAGCTGGGAAATAAATCGCAGGTTTATTTTAGATCTGTGTGATCAATAAATCAATAAATGCACTGCTCTGTCGTCTCCTCTGAGGCTGGGACTCTAAAGTTTGTCATGTTTTCAGACGGGTCATACTGAGGTGGAACATGTCACAGGCTGGTGCTACAGTGAATCCACCCAAGGCGTTTCAGCATTCAAGCTTCCCTCACACCTTTGTGGGCTCTTTTCTCATGGACCTGTGGTTGTCGAAGGTTTCCTTTCCCTTCCGCCGTGCGCAATTCACTTCCCCTTCACCTTGTGTGCAAAAGAGCCATCTACATATATCTACATTATGTATATGTTTTGCTGTTTATCTGTTGGAGTGTGATTGACACAAGCTCATCGGAAATGTCACCTTTAAAGGGTTAGTTCACCCAAAAATGAAAATTAGCCCATAAATTACTCACCTTCAAGTCATCCTAGGTGTATATGACTTTCTTCTTTCAGACGAATCCAGTCGGAGTTATATAAAAAAATTGTCTTTGATCTTTCAAGCTGTTTAATGCCACTAAGCGGGTGTTGCATGCTTCAGTCCAAAATAAGTTAAATAAAAAGCGCCCATCCATAAAAAAAAAGTGTCTCACACGGCTCCGGGGGCTGAACAAATGCCTCCTGTAGCGAATCGATGCGTTTTTGTAAGAAAAATATCCATATTCAAAACGTAATAATCACTTTAATGTAGCTTGCGCCAACAGTTGTACACAGAAGCAGCTCTGGGCGGATGACGGATGAGGTCGACCGATTGAAACCAATGGAGTTACGATCAACTTAAGCTTATGATGCTTTTGGGAAACGCAGTCCAGGATGTTATGGAAGCCCATTTCTGCCACTGAATAAAAAAAATTCAAAAAGATAATTGTGAATTTGTATATCGCAATTCTGACTTTTTTATTGCAATTTTAAGTTTATCTCTCACAATTCTGAGAAAAAAAGTCAGAATTGAGAGATGTATATTCACAATTGTAAGAAAATAGTATTTTTTTCCCTCAGAATTGGATAAAAGTCGTCAGAATTGCGAGAAAAAAGTCGCAATTACCTTATTTTTTAAACAGTGGCGGAAATGGGCTTCCATAGGTTGTCAATCACTCAGGTAATGACACACAGTAATAAGAGTCAAGGGTATGCAAACTTTTTAAAAGATTAATTTATGTACATTTAGTTATTATTTTGTCTTGTGGACTAAAAAGTAAATTAATTCAGGACAATACAAAAAAAAATAGCATGACATTTTTATAATATCTTATTTTGTCAAAATGATTGACATCTTGTATATTCTGTAAGGGCTACAATACGTGTAAAAAGTTTGTTAATGTTTAAAACTTTTTTCGAAAGTTCATTAAATGTTGTTGTCTGTTCATCAAGGCTGCATTTATGTGCTCAAATTCAATAAAAACTGCAATATTGTGAATATTATTGCAATTTAAAATAACTGTTTTGTATTGTAATATATTTTAAAATGTTATTTATAGTATTTCTCTGATCAGAGCTGAATTTTCTGCATCATTCGTAGTAAGAATAACTGACTAATCATTTTGGATGTTAAAATATGTTCACATAACTAGGAATAAGACCAGTAATTCTACGGGACTGTTGAATGCTTGAATCTGATTGGCTGGCGAACGTTTTACGGTGTGCAATTATTTTCAGGGAAACGCATGGCGAACGTAGTTCCAGTCAGGTCTTGACCGCATTACATGTCCATATCACTTCGCCAAATGATTTGAGTTATTTCAAAGGTCCTTACAGCCTAAAACAGCAAAAGAACCAAAAACCCACAATGACTCCGGCCAAATAAATAAATATAGTAAACAACAGGATAAAAAAGACAGATCATTTCCATATTTTTGGAACATGGAACATTCTCTCTCCCTTACAGACGCACATTCATACAGTTTGCACACATGCTAACATACCCGCTAATGTTGTTAGTGCTACTGTGTGCTACTGTGACGATTTTATCAGTAACATCAACTTAAAAACTACATGACTTCTCACAAGCGAGGTAACAACGGACGCTGTTTGTGCAGAAAATGAAATTAAAGTTTCACTATTAGTAAAGACACTGCTGTCGAACAATTTTAAGAGATGTACAGACTCACAGAGGTAATTCTCTCTCTCTCCCTCATAACTTAGTTATTAGCTGCATTAGTCTGCTACCAATGGCTCAAGCCTCCGTTACTAACGTAGGTCTAAAATTACGTTTTGGAATTAGCAACGGAGGCATTGGATGAGATGCGGAAGAAATTAGTCCTACTTACAATAGTGTTTTAAGTACGTCAATTATTCCTTGCTTAAAAGACATTCTTCTATCTTGTGTAGTAACATTATTCAGTTCTGAAGTCAGAAGAAATGGAGACTAGTTTGTAGATTAAACTCTGGCCATGGGGCAGCTCTCACAGCTGGACTCTTCAATCAGATTCACAAAATTATTACAACTAGAAAATTCTGTTGTGCTTTAAAAACAGGGTATCAAACAACAGCATTCTCATTAATGCCACGTAAGTCTCTACGGCTCAGTAGCACTCTAAACAAAGAGTTTAAGGTATCAAGCTAGATCACATCGGTCTACCCTGGGTCTAAAAAAACTCAGCAAATCGACAGAGAAATCAGCTCCTTAACATCTAGTTTGTTAACTGTGGAGAGCTGTGTCCCAAATCCACCATGGAATTCCCTAAATCCTTTTCATCAGATTGATATGAAACAGCTGCTCCAAACTCTGACAGCCAGAGTCCCACCCTCTTGAGAACCGACTGTGGGCCAAAAATTACCAGTCCATTATAAGCATTTGGAACCAATAACATGATCTAGTGACCAGCATGAAACTCATGTGCCTCGACTGGTTGGTTGTACACCGGTTGCTGGTTGCTCTGAGTGCAAAATGCAAATTCATTCTTTGCCACTAGGTGCCGCTTTTGGAGCGGTAAAAATAGCGGTTTCCCCGGTAACGCTATATGCAAAGCAGCACTGCACTCACAAACGCTGCTTTATCAGGCATCGCAGACGAGATGAAATGAAAATGAGACCAATCGGACCAATCACCGCAGATTAGCGTCACGCAAAGCAGGGGTTTGGAAAAATGAATCGTTGAGAGAATCGTTTGGGAGTCTTTGAGCAAATAAGTTAAAAATAAATGCATATTATAAGACAATGATGCATTTTCAATTCGCAATTTCAATTTGCGCAACTTGAAGGGTAATGGAAACGCGCCTACTGACACCTGCATGATGAAACATGAAGGGTTTTCTTCTCATTATTCTTATTAAAAAACACTTTAAGATTGTCTGATGATCATCATGATTGTCCTAACAACTTGTTGTTTATCCTGTGTATCTACACAGGGAAAACTATTTAAATAAGTTCAAAGTGTGGGTATTTTTACCTGAAGTTTCTGCGGAGGATTCTTCATTCTTGAATCAATCCCAGCTCTGTCGGGACGCGGCTGTCGTAATAATGGATCCTGACACACAAAACCTAAGCACAAGAAACAGTTGCTGTTCAGACAAGAGTGGATTAATACAATCCATTCATAATTAGCTTTCTATCCGTTCAGATGTGTAATGGAGTGTGTGTAAATAACAGCAGACAGTCAGAAAAAGTTTATCTCAAATGTTCTGTTTGATGTTAGAATTTTAGCAATAATACATGCTATATATTACTGTTCAAAAATGTGTTCGTTTTTAATACTCTTCAGCAAGGATGCATTAAATTGAATAAAAATGTCAATAAAAACCTTTATAAATGTTACAAAAGATTTCTATTTCAAATAAATGCTGCTCTTTAAATTTTCCTTTTATCTAAGAATTCAGAATAAAGACACTGTACTATGGTTTCCACACTTTCATTAAGCAGCACAGCCATTTCAACTCTGATAATAAATGTTTCTTGAGTAGCAAATCAGCATATTAGAATGATTTCTTAAGACACTGAAGACTGGAGTAATGATGCTGAAAATTCAGCTTTGATCACAGGAATAAATTACATTTTTCAATATATTCACACAGAAAACAGCAATTTATATTGTAACAATATTTCACAATATTACTGTTTTTTAAATGCAGCCTTTGTGAGCAGAAGAGACTTCTTTCAAAAACATTAAAGCCATCTTACTGACCCCAAACTTTTGAACAGTAGTGTATGTGGTCAATCATAAGCGTCAATTAAAATAATCACAATTTGTCACATGACACCTCTGTTCCAAAACGTTTTGAGCTGCCTTGCATAAATGCCGCCTAAATAATTAATTACTTGATTTATTACTTAATTTATTACTCATAACATCATATTAACGCCATTAAAAAACACCATACGCAAAAACAACAACAAAACAATTTTAAATGAACAAATTCACCACACAAATGTTTAAACATTCATAGACAAAAGTATAGCAAAAGAATCTGTCGCCAGAATCGAAATCCTCAACTTTTACAAAGAATGAACGAATAGTTGATCAGTTCTGCGGTGGCCAGACATCCAAAAATGATGTCAAGTAATCATCAGAAATGTGGATAGACACAGACAAACGAACAAGATAAAATACTGCATACGATCAACAACCGTCACAGTACAGCGATCAATCAATACAGTGAGCGTTCTTTTCTCTGGCGTCACATTTGCGAGCTTTTGGAGTGGGGACAACCTATTACGTAAGCATAACAAAACTCTGCCTTGAGCAATCGTTATTTTCATGAGCGCTGCAGAGGTATTTTCTTCAGTGACAGTTCAATGACTCATGCAAGCGTCTAATGTTCTGCTGACAGTTCCTTCATGCAAGTCATCTTATGCTAATGAACAGCGCCTGTGGGTAACTCTTTAACACTGTGCTTCTGATGCAGGGCAATTCATTGCTTTTCAGACACATCACATTTGATCATCGCACAGTTTGAAGGGTTGGAAGAATGTCACCAGCAGGCAACAATGCCCTATTAGTGGATTGTGAGCAATATGGATTTAGTGAGACGCCCAGCGTGACCTATGAAACCTATGAAATACTAGGGATGTAGCGATATTATCAATATCGCGATATTGTATCGTGGTATCATCGTGGTCATATGACGATAGGCAAGAAGTGTAGTTTTTAAAATACATTTGTTTTGGGCCATTATGCTTTGGCACAGTATCTGTCAAACAAAATGAAACCAAAAGCACAATATGGTTAATCCCTTCATCAAGTCTGTTTCAAAGCGAAGCGCACACTTCGTTCATGCGATCAGCTCGTGATCCGGTGTTTCCGCGCCTCAGAACGGCTCGTTCACACTGAATGAATGCAGTCCACTCTAGTGATGGGTCGTTCTTGAACGATTCGTTCATTTTGCACGAATCTTTAATGTGACTCGGGAAGAACGAGTCGTCTTGGGGAGTGATTCGTTCAGTCGCGCATGCGCAGCATCCTATAGGTTCTGTACTGGATTTAGTCAAGTAGTTCACCTGTTTCGAGTCTTCGGGTTTTTCGAGTCGTTCGTTCATCACGTGACAGACCCATAAGCTTAACCAATACAGTCTGAGTCGGAAAAAGACTTAATAATAATAATAACCAACTCTTTATTACCTTTGTTACAACATTCAGTGTTATGGAAAAGAACCATAATGACAGAAATTCACACATTTATAAACTGTAAGAAGTAAAAAGCTACAATTTGAGACCAGAAACGCATCAGGTAACTGTAAGAGTAAATAATAATTATAATAACGATGATGATAATAATAATAAATATAACTATGCACCCGTTTGTAAGGAAGCTTGTAAATTAACTAATTTCTCTATCCAATGCTGTCACGTCACGTGACAAAAGAACGAACGATTCGAAAGACTCGAGAGATGAACTAATCAATTCTCTTTCCGCTCAGACTGCATTGGTTAAAGCGTATGGGGCTGTCACGTGATGAACGAACGACTCAAACCCGAAGACTTGTCAGATAAGAGTTGAGGTGAGCTAATCATAGACTGAAGACGCAGGTAAACAATGAATTCATCTTTTCTGTTTCTTATAGCAGTTTTGTATTGTGATCAACGTTTGTGTAAGTAGTAGACGTGTTAGGGAAGTAACACGTAACATTTTAATTATATTTTGCTAAAATGAACGAAATGACTCGAAAAAAGATTCTTTCATTTTGCTGAACGAGACTCAAAGGTCCGAGTCTGTAAAATGATCCGAACTTCCCATCACTAGTCCACTCCTTTATTGCACGTGCTGTGAGTTTGCACGTTATTTTCGCGGCAGATGATTACAGCGTTTCACTAGATTTGTAGTGAGACGTGTTTTTGTGAGCATGTTTTCACTGAAGCTGTAGTTTCCTTCAAAACAAAAGCTCTACTGACGTTTCCGTCAAAATAAAAGCTTAAAGTGCAGAATGAATTTCTGACTGCTAGCGGTTTAAATGCAGTCCAAATTCACAATATCTCTTCCAAGTGTAGAAATTAGGAAAGAAGTAGGGTAAATATATACCTATTAAAATATTCATTTTCATTTATTTTACAGTGCAACTGTTTTACAGTATATGGCTGTTACTGTCACTGTTGTTATTATTATTATTATTCTATTCTAATTTGTTTGGCTTCCTAAAACCCCAGTGTGAATGTAACCACAGTTTACCACAAATAAAAAGAGAGTTGAGTCTCCTTTAAAGTCAATTCACAGACTTTTTTCTGACTTAAGTTAAGAAACATGGGTTGGAGCTCTTAATTTTGAACTCTTAAAGTGCATTAGATAGAATAATTTAACTTTAAAATGTTAAATTGAAATTTTTCCCAATTCTTCAGGTTTCTTTTTAAATATCGCAATAATATCGTATCGTCAGATTTTGATATCGTTACATCCCTATGAAATACCCATTTTATTTTCTCCCTTTTCTTTCCGTTTAAATTTTTGTAGATTCTGTGTTTTATGACGTAATGCAATTTTTTAAATAAAAAATGGTGGTAATCATGAATGCATAAAACTTCAACGATTTAATTAAGCTTTTAAAATGTAATCAAATGAAATTTGAACAATTCCTTTAATTGTTGGCATTGTGCTGCACAAAAGAGGTTTATGGTTTAAATGAAAACGTGGATAAAAATTTGTATGATATTCCGTACGTTTCGTCAGATTTTGATATCGTTACATCCCTATGAAATACCCATTTTATTTTCTCCCTTTTCTTTCCGTTTAAATTTTTGTAGATTCTGTGTTTTATGACGTAATGCAATTTTTTTAATAAAAAATGGTGGTAATCATGAATGCATAAAACTTCAACGATTTAATTAAGCTTTTAAAATGTAATCAAATGAAATTTGAACAATTCCTTTAATTGTTGGCATAGTGCTGCACAAAAGAGGTTTATGGTTTAAATGAAAACGTGGATAAAAATTTGTATGATATTCCGTAAAAAAAGATCTTTTAACAACTGTATTATTATCATTGTCATTATTACTTTGAGAAATACATTCTACTGTACAACAGTAACATATTTCTGTCATAATTTCTTCAATTTTTATTCATAATTTCATAATGAATGCTTGAGATGTTTGCCCCATTTGCCATATTGAGCTTTATTAATTAACCAAGCTTTTGGCAGATTGTTGTTTATACAGTTGTTTAAACGAGTTTATACAGTGAGATTAGTATGTGCCGTGTATGAGAAACTGAGTCAAGCAGAACATGCGGACCTTATATTTCAACAGTAGTCTTCTTGCACTTGAATATTCACAGCTACAAGCCCATATTGTCATTGCATTAAGTGTACAGCCCTACTTTGTATTTATTCATCCAAATTTTGCCAGATTTTGTGATTTCGTCTACGTTTTCCACAAACCCTCATGTATGGCAGGAAAGCACAACACTCCTTCTTCTCAACCGGTCATTACTGCAGACCAAACAAATGTGACCCACATGACAAAAGCCACGGGCACAGTAACCTGCAGTTATGGCTGTTCTGAGGTTTGAAAATATGACCGAACATGCACATTCACAACATGAGACTGAGGTGAAGTGGTTAAGGACTGGTCAGGGTTACGACTGAGACTCTGAGACTGGGAAAAAGCAAACTTACCCACAAGAGAAAACATATCGGAGATCATGCTGGCCTTTATCTTTAAATCCAGAGGAGCATCGCTAGAAATATAAAAAGACAAAAATGCATTAGTGCACTGTTATATTAACCTTGTGGGCCAATAAATTCTTCGGATTTATAAGCCTTTAAAAGAAACACAATACAACATGATTATTTTCTTTCTTCCATGAAACACAAAATGGGCAGAATGTCCAAGCTGCTCATTTCCACCTAATTAAAGGTGATGTATACTGTCAAGCTGCAAAATCCATAATAACAACTTCATTGCTTGTTCTAATGCACCACATTTCAAGTCATTCAAATAATACAAGAGTCCAATTTTAGAGCACCTTGACGTTTTCAATACAATACAACCTAAATCCTATACAGTGAACACTGACAAAAATGCATCTCTTGTTAAAAGGCTAGTTCACCCACAAATTAAAACTCTGAAAAATGTTTTGTCCACACAATGAAAATCAATGGGGTCAAAGGATCTACACAACTAGATGACTAACCTCTGCCAAAAGCACTAAATGACACTTCCACTTGATAGTGAACACAAATGTGAAGATATTTCAACTTTTCCATTCTTGAACCCAAACCAGTGCAGTCTGTGCTGTTTTTAGAAGCACCACACAAATGGCACTTAATGGCAGGCTTGAGTTTGACTCAAGTATTCATGAAGAACTTCCCTCTAATTGGACAAATTACTCAAAGGATTGTTTGACACAAAAACAATTGAGTGTGAATTGCCCATTTTTGTGAGAATTGTTATCTTGTATTGAAAAACATTTGGGGAGTAAATAGCTTTTTTAATAGGAAGCATTTATTTTTAATTGTGCACTTTATCTCTGATCTAGAATAGAGGGTATTTGGCTTTTGAAATTCCTTTATCATCTTGTTGAACTTCTTGTTGGGCCATTGGCTATCAAGATCTTAAGTTCATCACTTTCGGAGCTTTTGAATGTCACTGCTGAGCAACTTGACAAGATAGATGCTGTTCTTCATCTTATAACATGGGCACTATTTAGGATGTTCATTAGTAGTTTGTCAGTTGTGAGACAAAGTTGCCTTGGAAAACTCTTCACTTAATGGCTTTTACCAGCCTTTATGCCACCACTGGCATGGAACCGCAGGTTGGTTTTCCAACGCTTCACCTTCCAAGAAGCCCATGGTGACTGGGTCTGTTCGGTACGTTCACAGACTGAGGGGAATGCTGTCAAATGCTTTTAGTTGATGTATGCCATACTGAACGTTCCTCTTCTTCTTTATGTCGTTTAAGATGATTATCTTGTCCATGAGGAGCTGATCTTTGCATCCTCTGCTTTTTCCTCCTACAGCCCTACTTTCCTACCCCGGAGATCAGGGCCTGTATTCACAAAACATCTTAAGGCTAAAAGTAGCTCATAACTTGCAGATTTAGGAGGAAATCTTAAAAAATAATGGGCGTCAATCCTAAATTTAGGACTCCTACATTTTTACTCCAAGAGTATTTCACAAAGCGTTTTAGCGCTAAAACTAGCTCCTAAATCTGTGAAACGTTAGGAGTAGTGAAGAGGACTTCCTGGTTTTGGAGGATATCCTAATTTCAAATTTTCCTTTGATTATATCCTAGTTTTCATTAACCAGTTGGGCAAGATGTAACAGATGTTCTTGAGTCCAGTTTGGTTTATTTAACCTTTGCATGTCTTACTATAAGCCATGATTATTCTACTCTGTTAATTAAAAGGCTGTTTATATGCATATCCGTAAATTGTTTATGAGAAGCATACATGTAAGAGGCTGACAATAAGCTGAACATATACTTGTTTAATTAGTGATACTTAGCCAGCATTTTAAAATCTTTATTTGAATGTCAACATAATATCAAGCTCTACAACATTTCTATGAATAAATCTCTGACAGAGACCCCTCCCCTATCAGCCAATCACTGTGTGCATAGTTAGTAAGCATGCTGACATCATCTTAAAGGGATAGTTCACCCAAAAATGAGAATTATGTCATTAAAGTCCCCCTGTAGTCAAATATTTTATCCCTTAAAACTTATCTTTGATCATCAAAATGACATATTTAAATATTTTTTCTTGTGAAAATAATTGTAATGCCTTAAAATAGCTTGAATGTAACTCTACACCCTTGCCTCATTTACTATACGCGGATCTATTAGTCCCGCCTCCTGATCCACTGAACTGAAGTAACTGCAAAACAATGCCATACACAGATAATGACTGATAAAAATATGTTTTTACTAGCGGACAACTACAGTGAATACTGTAACATTCGTTAAAGTTACTTACTTGACGATGTTGTGTCCTAAAATTCCTTGAAGACTGGAATGCAGCCGTTTGTGATTATTAATTCGCGCCCGCGAGCATACGCGTGTGAAGTGCAGACGCAGATGCGGGAGAGGTTACATTTACACTGTTGCCATGGGTTATAATGCAAGTTAGCTTCATGGGTTTTTTGTGCCGATTCATTTTTGGTTTTGTGCTGGTATTGGTATATTTTGCATGCTAGTGATAGGAACCGATCCCTTGACGTGATTGGTTATTGGTTTGTGACGTAGCAAACCAAGGGCTGTTTCAAACCATATTTCTGGGTCAGCCTTTGGGAAACTACAGTTTTAAGGAGAAAATACTCAGCAAGGGTGTTGATTAATAGATTGGCACATGGTTTGTCTAAACGCATATTAAAAACACCACATAGACAAATAAACAACATAAAAAACTTGATTTTCACTACAGGGGGACTTTAATTACTCACCCTCATGTCGTTCCAAACCTGTAAGACCTTCGTTTATCTTCGGAACACAAATTAAGATATTCTTGATGAATTCCGAGAGCTCTCTGACCCTCCATAGACAGCAATGTAATTACCACGATCACGGTCCAGAAACTTAGTAAGGACATCGGTAAAATAATCCATGTGACATCAGGGGTCATTTTTGGGTGAACTATACCTTTAAGACTTCTCTCTATTCCTTAGTAAAAGTTTGTCTCAGCAGCTTTGTGAATAGGTTTTAAGAGAAAACTCTTAGCTAAAAACATTTACTGCTTTTTAGGAGAACTCTAAGTGGTAAGAAAATATTTTGTGAATACGGGCCCAAGTCTGTTTAATTTTGCTCATGTCAGATAGTACATCTTTTGTATGTAATTCCTGCGTAAACCAGTCTGGTAACATACTCAAATCACTGGTTGCCTCACTTAAAGCCCTTGCAAGATCTTAACGCAGTGCATCAAAGCTCCAGATCCAGTAGTTTGAACAAGTCTAGACCTGATAACTTCCAGTTGGTTAGATCCTCCAAACGTAACGGGAAATCCTTCCACTCATCTGGCGTTACGCTTTGAAATAGGCTTTTCTTGGATGTTTCGATTTGATCCCACCTCTTATGACAGATGCCGTGGTGTAGATCAGCCGCTTGAGCTTTGTAAGGTTTATAAGGAATACTAGAGATGTTCGATACACCATATTGAATTTTACGTGGATTAAAAAAGAGGATTTGAGGCTTTACAGTCTTTACAATGGCATGCACTGTATGAAAGTCCTGGATCGCATGTAACTTTCAAAACTCACAAATTTCAGTACTGTTTTATGGAATGTTTGTCAAGTAAATGTTTTTTGGAAAGGTGTTTTATCGGCTGAACAATTGGTTTGAACCCTCATATCATCATTTTTATTCCTGTCAAAACTAAATGTGGCGCAAAGTCAGATCTTGACTAGGGCCATATTAACAGTTCATACTTGTTAATTTAGCAATTTTCAGGCCTGATGTAAAACTCCATATCAACTCCTTGCACTCTGCCAAAAGAGAGACCTAAAATGTATATTTTAAACTGTATATTCCTTGTATGGATGGCTGTATGTGATGGGAATTTAAAGTGTGCAATGCAGTGATCTCAGTTTGCATTTGTCGGTATAAGACAGGCACAACACAAACACCCAAAACCTGGTAAAAAGTTGTTATTGTACACATCACCATAAACACAAAAAAATGGAAAAATCAATGGATTAGTGTGTGTGCGTCGCTCACCATGCCAATGAAGGAGAGAGGTTCACTTCCAAGAGCCACGGTTTGAGGTTGGAATCAATGAGAACGTCGAAGCCGTACAGTTCTGCGAATTGAGACACACACGCACAGAGTGAGACGGGTGAACGAGAGGACACACACCACACAGAGATGGCCAGCACTACTGAGGGCCATCTGTGAATGTAAATGAAATTAAATGTCCATTACAGCAGTAATGGAAGAAGAAACAGGCCGCAAACGCACTGACAAGTTTTGGGAGTGACAACCTCCTCAAAATACAGAAGTAAATCCTCTAAATTATCATTCGTGTCTCTCCTGAACCTGGCATGGCTGACCGGATATTACAGTATCCAATTATGGATATTGTGATCTTAAATCATGACATATACATTATCTGTCACTGCATTAGCAGCTAGTGGTCACTACCTGCTTGTGAACTGTATATAATGTGGTTGTGACTTCTGCAAATAACTGAGCTCTGTAAACATAAACACTCAGAATATGAGAGATTTTTACAGCCATATTTAACTATATTGTAGGTCTGTGATTTAAGAAACAGATGAAGTTGAATACTAGGAATAAGGGACCCAAATACCCAAATAAGGGACTGATTTTTAAAACTACACACAGTGCTCCTCAAATGCTCTGGCTTGACATATAATTGTTTTCAATACGAAAAAAATACATAGCACACACAAAAAGACGACAAAATTTTATATTTTTGTATTGAATACAATTTAAGTGTACTTGTAATAAACATTGCTCCCAAATTGACATCTTACTTTTTTTCTTATGGCCAAAAGACTGTGGTAGGGCTGTGCATATATTTGCATTTGCTCTTGAGAAAAAAGTGGTTATTGCAACAATGAAGCGACTTCTTTAAAGAAAACATAAACACATTAAACAAGTGGCAGGTTTATTAGTTTGCATTTACACTCCACTTAATGCACAGATCTATTCTCACATACAGTATCCATTTGTTTTCTTTTTTTAATCCCATCCATTGCCATGGTCATCACTATCAATCACTGTATTTTCGGATTCAAACCTGTATTTCAGTATGGTTGTCAATTAAAAAAATTTGCAGTGTGAAACTACACTCTCAAAAGCTGTCACTGGGACAGTACTTTTTCACTCTTGCAAAAACACTGTTATCAATGAAGTTGTCTTTACTGCGCAATCAAACTCTTATTTAACCAGTGGTTACACTTTGTTGGTTATAATGAATGGATTCACACACACACACACACACACACACACACACACACACAAACCAACAATGTTTGACACTGGTTTGCATGATGTAAATAGAAAGTTTGATACTCTTCAGAGAGCGCTCATATAAACACACATGGAGACGTTTGAAAGCAGCGCCTACCAGCTGGCATGAAATGAAAAAGGGGAGTGAAATTGGCTTACTGTCTTTATGAGTAATACATCACCATAATATACACAATATTCCCTAATTTTATATCATCACACATATACACATATTATTACAACTATGTAGCTAATATACAGTGTATTGGCTAGCCCACGAAGACAGCATAATCCTGCTTCCTGCCTTTTGGAAGAGCCTTCTATTTGGGAACATACGTAGGCAGTTCACTGTGTTTTGAAAGAGAGCCTATATGTGGCTCTAAATGCCCTCTGGCTTAAAGCGGGTCTTTATCAAGCGGTTTCTTGTGGCCACTCCCCTCACCACCTTCAAACCCAAGAGAGAGAGAGAGAGAGAGAGAGAGAGAGAGAGAGAGAGAGTCTGAATGTTTTTGCTGTGAGCTCTTGAGAAAACAGAGCTGTTTTAGAGAGCGAGGCCACGCTGTGCTGACATCAGGACTATAAGCCTGTGTCCACCTTTATACTAAACGTCACAGCATCACTGATCTGGTTCCCAAAGCGATCAACAATTGATCCTACAAGAGGACTCCGAATCTTTAAAGGATTTAAAAATCTACTGTTGTGCTTTACTGAAGGTTGTGTTGTGTTGTTTCCAACCATCTTAACTGTGACATACTTCTTACTCTAACAACCATTTTCAGACAACCACTGATTCAGAAGCATTTGCTTTATTAATGCTTCCGCCCCCCCTTCATAAACCATCTGCCAGTTCCAGTTCACCACTGATCCTGTGTAATTATTTAAGACAGATCCCAGACCAGATTGTTTCATGTACTGTATGAGTATTTTGTAAAACTGTTATGCGTGGTATACTGCAATCCATTTAATTGTAAACAGGTAGAATTTGCAACTAAGAGCATCTGGACCTGGCTATCCAATCACTTTAGAAGTCACTTATTCACTCATTCATCAGCTGACTGGATTCAGAATAACCACGTCCAGATGATCTAGAATAAGATTTTACCTGCTTCTACATTAAAATGTGAAAATGACCTGGATCATAGGCACAACCGTTGTCAGACAAGCCTGGGTCAATGTTGGCTTCAAGCTTTCTGTGAATATATTTCTCATGTCTGTGAGGCAAGCATCCTCGACACAGTTTCTCTTCATTTTTTTCCAGAGATGGCAGAAAGCGAGTCCAGTTTTTATTTTTATTTTACAAAAGCACAATGTTTTGTTGATATTGTGAGTGTACACAAATAAAAGACCCTTTACAGTTTTGAATGATATATTAATCTTATCGAGCAAAAATGACGGTATTTTGTTTCCAGTTTTATCAGGTAAAAAAAGTGCCAGTGATGGCAATAATGCACATTCATTTAGGTTAACATTAGAGCAAACAGCCGCGCAAAGGTGCTACTACTTACATATTGCAATGATAAGCCATATATGAGGTTGATGAATGATAGGCGAACATTTCAATTGCCTCAAGGACCAGCCAGTAATAATTAGGGCCCTACGATTTCCACGATGTGGAAAACATGGACAGAATCGCAAAATCCAGTCATAAAAACTGAATGTCGTGGAATGTCACGGAATTTGCCAACTTTTGGACGAATGGACTTGTATCTGTAAATATTAAGCCACAAAATGACTATTTAAATATGAATCCTGCATGTTCTACGTGTCTCTGTGTTCATAAATGGTGCAGACGCGTGGTTTTGTTTACTACACACAATCACGGTGATTTCAGCGTCTGGCATCTCACTTAATGAGTCATGACTAAAAGGAATCACTAAATGAAATAAATGAACAACATCCCCAGAACTGCTCTGAGAGTACTTCATGAGCAGTTCACAGTTTTATTTGAGTAAAGCTAACAGCTAGCGTAGACTTGTGCCGATATTCGGTAATGCGATATATCACGGTAATGAATATGCACGATATTGTTATCGTGGGCACTTCTAAATACCGTGAATAATTATAGATTACAAATTATTCAGAATTTTTTATGCATTTTAAGAATACTTTTGCCATCAACTGGTCAAAATGCACAACAGCGCTGTATGCTGCGTGAAAGACGCGTGCGCACCCTGATGTAAACAAGCGCGGACGAGAAGCGCACGGCGGAACACGTGAGAGACGCACTTTCACTCTCTGACAGCAGATGGCGCTAAACTGCAGAAATAATAATCATAATAATCATAATAATGCATTTAAATGCAGCCGTTACCCTGGAAACCCTGTAAACAAAGCAGCTGCACTACTTTCTGTTTCTGAGTGGACAGAATCGCAAAATCCAGTCATAAAAACTGAATGTCGTGGAATGTCACGGAATTTGTCAACTTTTGGACGAATGGACTTGTATCTGTAAATATTAAGCCACAAAATGACTATTTAAATATGAATCCTGCATGTTCTACGTGTCTCTGTGTTCATAAATGGTGCAGACGCGTGGTTTTGTTTACTACACACATACTGAATCACGCGTGACGCTCACGGTGATTTCAGCGTCTGGCATCTCACTTAATGAGTCACATGACTAAAAGGAATCACTAAATGAAATAAATGAACAACATCCCCAGAACTGCTCTGAGAGTACTTCATGAGCAGTTCACAGTTTTATTTGAGTAAAGCTAACAGCTAGCGTAGACTTGTGCCGGTATTCGGTAATGCGATATATCACGGTAATGAATATGCACGATATTGTTATCGTGGGCACTTCTAAATACCGTGAATAATTATAGATTACAAATTATTCAGAATTTTTAATGCATTTTAAGAATACTTTTGCCATCAACTGGTCAAAATGCACAACAGCGCTGTACGCTGCGTGAGAGACGCGTGCGCACCCTGATGTAAACAAGCGCGGACGAGAAGCGCACGGCGGAACACGTGAGAGACGCACTTTCACTCTCTGACAGCAGATGGCGCTAAACTGCAGAAATAATAATCATAATAATCATAATAATGCATTTAAATGCAGCCGTTACCCTGGAAACCCTGTAAACAAAGCAGCTGCACTACTTTGTTTCTGAATC